ATTTGTGCGTGTGTGTGTGTATATATATATATATATATATATATATATATAAAATAATGAGTAAAGTATACAGTAAACCTGTATAGATATATAAAAAAAAATAATTACTAAAATTTTCAAAATTAAAAACTAAAATACTAATTCAGTAAAACTATTTCAACCTAATAAAAACTTGCCATTTACTGTAATTGTTCATTTAAAAATAAGTGTTAATGCATTTTTTTCTTTCTTAACACAAACCTTTCAATACCCATGATTCATGTTTAGCGACTGAAACTATTATAATATTGTTTTAAATCTGCTGTGTAATAGCTGATATAAACATCTGCTTATTATTTGTGCGTGTGTGTGTGTATGTGTATATATATATATATATATATATATAAAATAATGAGTAAAGTATACAGTAAACCTGTATAGATATATAAAAAAAAATAATTACTAAAATTTTCAAAATTAAAAACTAAAATACTAATTCAGTAAAACTATTTCAACCTAATAAAAACTTGCCATTATTTACTGTAAATGTTCATTTAAAAATAAGTGTTAATGCATTTTATTCTTTCTTAACACAAACCTTTCAATACCCATGATTCATGTTTAGCGACTGAAACTATTATAATATTGTTTTAAATCTGCTGTGTAATAGCTGATATAAACATCTGCTTATTTGTGTAATGCATCAAGTCAAATCTACAGTATCCCCAATCGTCCTTATTGAAACATTGAAGGATTTACTGAACTAAACCGGTGTAATTCTTGGCCTGTAATGTGTAGATGGAGTCAGTAGAGCTTAAACTCAGACTGTGTTTGATTTCAGTTTACAGAGACTTCTGCTTGTCTTGTCATTGTATTATCAATTAACCACAGGATTATTCTGAGTGTTTCGCTTTGATTTGCATAGTTTGATGACGTAGATTTGTCTGTGTTTCAGGTGCTGCACACAGCCGAGGCCTTCCAGAAGATTCTCCGCGAGGAAGAGAAGAGGAGGAGGAAGGAGGAGAAGAGGAAAGAGATCCGGAAAGGTCCGCGGATCTCTCGCTCTCGCACCGAGTTATAGATCTGACTGAAGATCAGCCGTTTACACTCAATCAGGGAGCCTGTGCTGAATCTGCCACGGGCGTCGACGTTTACAGGCTTCAGAACGAGTCTCGGATTCGCAACGCTTGAATCGCTTCTGCTTTTAACTCTTGAGTGTGTGTTTAGTGCTGTATTGGATTAAGGGGGAGGAGTCAGGGTGGTGGGAGGAGCCAGAGTGGGCGGGGCCACTCTAGTGTTTGCTGTTGGAGTGGTGGGCGGGGATGGGAAAGTGGGCGTGGTCAAAGATGAAGGTATTTTGAACACTGATATTTCGATATTTAACAAACACTTGATAAGTTTTGATAATCTAAAATCGGAAATTGTTCAAGCTCCCACATATATGAAATTCAGTTGTTTAGATTCAATATAAATGCTTTATTTGGGGGTACTTTATAGTCTAATAAGAGAATTGTGGGTAATTGATGTCTTTTTCTGCTTTCTTTAGAAACTTATTCATTAAAACATGTGTATTGTCTGTGTGGAGTGTGCGCGCGTATGAGAGAGCGTGATGATCTGACCTGAGATCAGAGCTGCACTGCCATGAGAGAAACTGTTTAATGACGGATCTGAATCAGACTGATATCAGTGTGAATGCGGTTCTGATTCGCTTCGGTTTCTCCAGCTGCTGAAGTGAGACGATCATCCGAGACACCTTCACAGAGGCTTTATCAGTCTGTTCACGTGACTGTTACTGAAATCTGTAGAGCATCAGTGGGAGATTGTTATCGACGGAATGAATAAAGTCTATTTAACACACTGCGAATGTTGAGTTATGTGTTTTTCGTGGGTTGTATTTAGAGTTTTAGCTCATGCATTCATGTTGATTTTCGGTTCATTATAATCGTTTTTGCTCGAAGCTACAAATCAAGGATGTTTTGAAGAATTACCCAATGAAATTTGGAGAAAGTGAGCATCGGACACAGGAAAACAGCATTGCAACGGAGCGGAGCGTAACAGAAGTGAAACTAAATATAAAGAACTTTGAGCAACAGCTCTGCTCCAGGTGAGTTTATATTCCTGCCACGATGGGGTTTATGCAAATATGTTTACATTATAAAACATTGCAAATATATAGGATTGTTTTCCTGATGTGATTCGCACTTGTTTTCTAGGAAGCATTTTCATGGACTTGTGATCGGTCAGATACTGTTAAGATGGCATCGGGACCTGATATGAGAGATTCTGCATCGGGGAGAGTTTAGTTTGGAGCCTAAACTTTAGATGGGTTTGAATATTTGACTTTATTTCAATTGCAGTTAAAGTTTGGATAAAGCTGCACACGCAGTGAAGAGCTGCTTCATCGCTGACACACGAGAACAAACATTTGCCCATTTTGTTTCAGGATTGTAGGTAGGCCTATATCCACGTAAACCCATGCAATTTTCCCGTTTTATAAAGTAGCCTTTCCTGTTTCAGCGAATGAAATCAAACTGAATCGCAAATGTATTTTAATGTAATATGTAAAAAATGATTTTTATTTTCTTTTTACTGCTGCAAGTCGGATTGCTCTTGCATTGTAAGGCATATAGTCAAAGAAAGCAGCTTGTTGAAAAACTAAGAGATATGGAAATCAATGATATTTCAGTTAAGAATATATTTCAGAATGCACAGAAACACGTAAGGTTTTATGATTTTCTTCTCAAATATTTGAGAGATACAGATTTGATTAGAAGAATTTAGTTTTTTTTTTTTATTGTATATAATATTTTCATTCATAGAGGCCTCACACTCCATCCCAGTAGGTGGCAGAAATTCACCTTAAGCTGGTTTGCCAACATTAAACACAAAAAAAGAAGAAGAAGACTCATTCCTCCCTGTTTCAGCGAATGAAATCAAACTGAATCGCAAATGTATTTTAATGTAATATGTAAAAAATGATTTTTATTTTCTTTTTACTGCTGCAAGTCGGATTGCTCTTGCATTGTAAGGCATATAGTCAAAGAAAGCAGCTTGTTGAAAAACTAAGAGATATGGAAATCAATGATATTTCAGTTAAGAATATATTTCAGAATGCACAGAAACACGTAAGGTTTTATGATTTTCTTCTCAAATATTTGAGAGATACAGATTTGATTAGAAGAATTTATTTTTATTTTTTTTATTGTATATAATATTTTCATTTCATTCACTCACACTCCATCCCAGTAGGTGGCAGAAATTCACCTTAAGCTGGTTTGCCAACATTAAACACAAAAGAAGAAGAAGAAGACTCATTCCTCTCTTCTGTCAGACTGGCTCTCGATGTCTCGACAAAGGCTCACCAGAATCTGGGATCTGTGATGCATAAAGAAAATGCTTTCAAGAAGGGTTTTTGAGCAGTTTGTTTCTGAACAAACAGCAGACCTTTGTGATCCATTTTTGAAAGCAAAGTGAAAGTAAAGCTCAACAACAGTGAAAATGGCTTCAACAGCTGAATATGATTATATGTGTCCTGTGTGTCACGAGATCTTCAAGACTCCTGTTATTTTATCATGCAGTCACAGTTTCTGTAAAGAGTGTCTTCAGCAGTTCTGGAGAAGCAAGGGAACTCAGGAGTGTCCCGTCTGCAGGACATCTTCAAGACATCAACCTCTAGTTAATCTTGCATTAAAAAACTTGTGTGAGTCGTTCTTAAAGAAGAGAAATGAGAAGCGTTCATCGGGATCTGAGGAGCTCTGCAGTTTACACAGAGAGAAACTCAAACTCTTCTGTCTGGAGGACAAACAGCCGGTGTGTTTAGTGTGCTTTACTTCACAACAACATGACAATCATAAATTCAGACCCATCGGTGAAGTGGTTTCATCACAAAAGGTAAGACAGATTTATATCTGATGATTAAAGCTGGACACATGCGTGACATTTCTTACTACCATTTTGCTCATATTATGTGAACATATTACAGAAATATCTGGTGTCTTATATTTTTTTCACTTTAAACTCTAGGAGGAGCTCAATACAGCACTGAAGTCCTTACAAGAGAAACTGAAACACAAAGAAAACATTAAGGGAGAGTTTGAGAAAACACTTCAACACATGAACGTGAGGATTGATATTTATACATTTGATTAGAACAGATGCATTGTTTTGTCCGACATAATTACATGTTCCTGTATTGACTGTCTTATAGTTTATGAAATTAACTATAAGACATATGCATTTAAAATATTTTTATTCTCAGAATGGAAAAAGTAAAAACATATATATTGATGACGTCTGTGAATGTCTCTGAATTTTTGATCAATCTGATATTCTCTAGAATCAGAACATCCTTTGACATGCCCCGATCCTCGCAGTGCCAGTGAACACGTCCGCAATCTCTCTGCACTGTGTAAATATGATGTATACGCGCGACAGATCGCTTACGCACATTTGCTATCATAGATATGTATAGATGCCCTATTCGACCGCTCCAGATACGTTGACGCATCCGCCATTTTTGAAAATATCACGGCCCATAGAAACAGTCACTAATGAGGCATCTACTTATATATATCTATGTCTACTATGCCAGAGCACATACACGCGTCATGCGCCGGATGTTGTGAACGCGCTCAGACATTGCGGTGGATCAGAGGTAAAAAACGATATAAATACTGTTCCGTTTCTTGCACAGACCGATCCAGTGCATCAGAGGTAAAAAACGATATAAATACTGTTCCGTTTCTTGCACAGACCGATCGATTCGTGTCTTAAGACCTCAATGTATCGTCACGAGCCGCAGGGTTTAATTTGGTTTTGTTTGTGTATGTTTTTTTTACTCTCGAAGCCGTGATTCCCATTGACTGCCATTATAAGACTGATAAACTGCAACGGTTTGAGTTAAAAATCTTCGTTTGTGTTCTACTGAAACAAAGTCACCTACATCTTGGATGCCCTGGGGGTAAGCAGATAAACATCAAATTTTCATTTTCAGGGGCGGATTTAGTGAATTGGGGGCCCCAGGCAAAATATAGGAATGGGGCCCTATAAATTTGCACACATTTACCTGGATCAACCTTGAGGTTCCTTTCTCTGTTGTGATGCTTGCTGCTGCAAGTTGTGTCCAATGTTTCTACATTTTTCATGTGCATGTTATAATGGCTTTCTTTCATGTTGTAGACCACAAAAGAGCAACTGTGGGCTACATGGTGAAATCACACACAGAACATTATTTTTACCTCACCCACTGCGGTATTCATGTTTAAACAGGTTTAAACACTGTTAGAGTAGGTTGGACACTAGGTGGGGTAATTTTCAAAGGCTGTCTATTTCTAAAATTTAAAATACATTTATTTTTATTTATTTTAACTACAAATTTAAATGAAGCTGAAAAAATAGTGAAAAGGAAATTATACATTTACCAAGGGTTATATCACCCAAAAATGAAGAACATAGTGCATTCAGTGGTGTGTCAGAGTTGATTGGCTGTGTGGAAAGTAACTGTGCATGCGTCCTCTCTTAAATGAGTAAGCAGCATTTAAAACAATAAACATATAATACGCACTGTTGCTCAGTATGTAAATACAGCTTCAGATGCATGATATTTTAATTTGCTACAAGCAGGATACACAAGAAACGCGTGTTCACCGCGGACACGCAGATGGTTGTCGTGATAATGAACACCACAGCAACCACTTGTGTGTCTGCGCTGTCTCATATATGAAAAGCATTTTAGGGGGCCCAAAGCATTGCCTACCTTTGCCTAATGGGTGTCCACCTCTGAGTCTATGAGATTTTGGGGAATTTTGATTTATTATTTTTAAGAAAACCGGAGCAGGATTTCATAATCCCGGGTAAAAAGTGGTGCTAACCCCTCTTCTAAATTACAAGTGTGAAATGTTCCTTTACCCAGAGGTTAAAAGCGGAGCTTACAATCAGAATAATCCAGAGTTAAGCGCAGTGTGAAAAGTCCTAATGTTTTGGTCCGATTGAGCATCAATCCCAGTGCATGTAAACATGATAAGAGGAAAACGGCTGATGTGTTTGATCAGTAGATTCATAATAATCTGTGATGATTGTTGATTGTGTCTCATCAGCTCCCGTGATTCTGGATCCAAACACGGCTCATCCAGATCTGGTTCTGTCTGATGATCTGACCAGTGTGAAATGGAGCTGGAACAAACAACCTCTTCCTGATAATCCAGAGAGGTTAGACCGTTATCCCTGTGTTCTGGGTTCAGAGGGTTTTAACTCAGGAACACACTGCTGGGATGTGGAGGTTAAACAGAGTTCAGACTGGAGTCTTGGAGTAACTACAGCATCAAACCAGAGGAAGGGACGGGATTTCTATAAGACTTGTGTCTGGAGTGTGTGGTACGATCAGTACAGCCTGTCTGAGCAGCCTGGCTTTGGCTTTCGTGTTAAACAGGATCTTGAGCGTGTGAGAGTGTATTTGGACTATGACAGAGGAACAGTTTCATTCTCTGATCCTGTAACTAACACACATCTACACACATTCACAACCACCTTCACTCACACAGTCTTTCCATTCTTCTGTTGTTATACTATTTTCACTCTTAATATTTTACCGTTCAGTAGTTAGTAAACGTTACTCCTGTAGATCTGGATCTTCCTGCTTTCATTATGTTTCCTCTATTTAATTCATATCACACGAGTAAGAGACCGTTGTTCTGAATATCAGTACTTCTGTGATTGGGCCGTGATGATCACATGACTGATATCAGAACTACAGCAACACTCACACTCTCATATTGCTCTTGTACAACAGTACCAGCTGTGTGTAATGTCGGGATCACACTGCAGGATTTTCAAAGTCATTGGATCGCTGTTCTTCTCACA